AGTTCCCATCTGTACTGCTGTGCATCCTCTGGTCTAACCAGGTTTGCAAGGTAGAATTGGGATCATAGTAGTTGGGGGTGGAAGCGTTTAAGAACTGGAGGAAGGTTGTGAGTTTCATTATTGCTATACTGAACCTTGAGAGTCATCTCCTCCCCACTACCCCTCTGCAAGGTGTGTCCAGTTGTCTACAGATGGGCATTGGGTCCCCATCATGCGCTACCCTCATTCACAATCATATATTTCAAAAAGGACATTTTAAGATATATCTTGAAGTATAATAACTGTATTAGGATAATAACTATTTTCATACAAGGAAATTCAGTCAGTACAACTACTATGCAGTTTTATGCACCAAGCATGAAAACTAGTAATGAAGAAATTGAAGAATCCTACCAATGTCTTCAGTCTGAAATTGATAAAACATGTAATCAAGATACACTGATGCTTATTGACGATTAGAATGTAAAAGTTAGAAACAAAGAGGAGAGAACAGTTGTTAGAAAAGTTGGAGATTGAGGGATAGAATTTTACAAGACCATCTACTTCCTCATAGGAAATACTTTTTCCCAACAACATAAAAGGCAACTATACATGTACACTTATCCAGACAGAATACACAGAAATCAAATCAACTACATCAGTGGCAAGAGAGGAATATGGGCCTTTCTACTCCCATAATGAGTTAGTCTCTACCATCCTATAAGGTCACTATGAGTCCACATCAACTCGATGGCAGTGAGTTTGGGTTTTGGTTCAATGTGGAAGAGACTATGGAGAAGCCCAATTATCAGCAATTAAAACTGGGATGACATCAATAATAGCATACACGAAAAAAGCAAAAGGCCATTGAACAGTTAGGAAAGAAGCAATCAAAGTGGGTATCAGAAGCCCCTCTGAAACGTGCTCTTAACCAGGAGCTAAGACAGCCAAAGACAAGATGAAGTCAAATAATTGAACACAAAATGTCAAAGGGCAGGACAAGAATCAAAGTAAAATATTTTAATGAATCTTACAAAGACCTAGAGTTAGAAAACAAAAAGGAAGACCACACGCACCATATTTTAAATGGAAATAAGTAAGTCAAGCCTTGAATCCCAATATCGAAAGATTCTATGGGAAAAGTATTGAAGTGTGTAGGAAGCATCCAAAGAAGATGCAAAGTATACACAGAGTCACTGAACCAAAAAGAACTGGTTGGCATTCAGCAATTTCAAGAGGTAACATAGGAGCATGAGCCAGTGGTACTGAAGGTAGAAGTCTAAGATGCACTGAGCATTAGCCAAAAACAAGGCTCCAGAAATGGATGGAATACCAGTTGAGATAGTTATGTTTATGGTGCCAACCTGGCCGATAAACACATGTGGGAGTAATTGAAGGGCAGAGAGATAAATGGCTCAGTGAGCCTCGCCTTTCTAGTTCTCAGGTCTCTTGCTTTGTGATGGTTGGACAAGGGTACAGCTGCCTTAGCCAGGTCCCTGCTTCAGCTGGCAAGGCTGACTTCCTGCAAGACATCCCTAAGGAGAAGCCACATGGATCTACCCTGATGCAGCCGTGGGTGCTGGAGCAGCCGTGTGGAGATACCTGTCAGTGCTGAGATGCTTACCCACTCACTGATTCAGCTTTCTTCCTGCAGTCAGCGTCATTGTGCGTGTTTTGTGAGATGGAGGAGGACTTTGTAAATTGGTGTCCGACATATGGGCTAATGTTGAACTTAAGGGCTTGGGCAGCACTGGGTTGAGATGCTTTCTTAATGTACACTTACCCTTTTATATAAAACTCTCTCTTCTACATATGAATTTCTGTGGATTTGTTTCCCTATTTTACCCAGACTAACACACCAATTCAAATGTTTCAGGAAGCTGATTAGCACAGGAAGCACATACTTGCCTATGCCAGGAAATCTGGAAGACAGCTACCTGGCTGGTTGTTTGGAAGAGATCCATATTTGTATCCCTTCTAAAGAAAGGTGACCCAACAGAATGCTCAAATTATAGAACAATAACCTATCACATGCAAATAAAATTTTGCTGAAGATCATCCAACAATGTTTGCAGCGGTATGTTGCAAGGGAACTGCCAGTTTCAGGCCAGATTCAGAAGATGGATCTTGGCTGAAAAAGAGAATACCAGAAGGACATACTTGTGTTTTATTGAGCAAGCAAAGGCATTCAATGTTGTGGATCCTACTTCTAGAACAGTTCATTGTACTCATGATGAAACTGTCTATGGATCAAGAGGCAATGTGTGAACAGAACAGAGAACTAATGCATGGTTTAAAGTCAGGAAAGATGTGAGTCAGATTTGTATCATCTTATCATACTTAGTCAATCTGTGCTGAGCAAATAACCTGAGTAGCTGGATTTTCTGAAGAAGAATGCCATATCAGGTTTGGAGGAAGGCTTATTAACAACCTGCAGTATGCAGATGACACAGGCTGACTTGCTGAGGAAAACTTGAAACACCGATGAACATCAAGGGCTGCAACTTTCAGTATGGATTACACCTCACTGTAAAGAAAACCCAAATCCTCACAATTGGACCAGTAGATAAGACATCTTGAAAGTTTTGAAAACCAAATAGGCTACTTTGAGGAATAAGGTGCTCCTAAGCTAAGCCATGATATTTTCAATAGCCTCATGCATGTGAATGTTGGACATTGAATAAGGAAGACTGAAGAAAAAATGATGTATTTTGACTATGGTTATTAAATATTAATATTTTGGAGAAGAATATTAAAAGTACTGTGGCCTCCCAAAAGAACAAACAGATCTGTCTTTGAAGAAGTATAGCCAGAATTCTCCTTAGAAGCAGGATGGTAACACTTCATCTCACATACTTTGTATGTGTTATTAGGGAAGACCAGTCTCTTAGGAGGACATCATACTTTGGTAACGTCAGGGGCAATGATAAAGAGGAAGGCCCTCAATGAGATGTATTGACTTAGTGTGTGTAGCAATGGATCAAACATAAGAAAAATTGTGAGGATGGGGCAGTGTTTCATTCTGCCTCACGTGGGGTCGCTCTGAATCAGAACCAACTTGGCAACACCCAACAATAGTACCATCACCGACTCCTCACTTAACAACAATCAGGTTATCTGAAACCTCAAATGTATGACAGTAATAAAATCCATTTTCCGGTGTTTTGCATTAATGACAATGTCTGGCAGAAGCAAAGAGGTGCTAGGTGAGAGTAGCCCTGGCCATCGTCGTTAAGGTTATATTACATGTCAACTAGTCCCGGCCATGATTCTCCATGATTTGGAATACACGCAGAGATGTAATTCAGTCGCTGTGTAATGATACACTCTGGCAATTATGTAATGATGTTTCTTCTTTTTTGATCTGATGTTGTCATTTCCCATTTTCGTGTAACACCAATTCTCCAATCACGAACTTATTTGGAACCTAACCATGTTGATAACGGAGGAATGGGTATAACAAAATATCTTCTTTTGCCTTTTCTGAAGAAGCAATGTTATTCATGTTCCCAGTTTTTTCAATTCGGTTAATGACTTTATTTTATACTACTCTATTAAAGTTTCCCCCTCTTTTCTCAGCATTCTGAAATAAAAGAAAAAGAAGTAGAAATCAAAAAACATGAAGAAAATGAGGTGAAGCTTACCATGCAGATCACTGCCTTGAATGAAAATCTGGGCACGGTAAAGAAGGAGTGGCAGTCTAGTCAGCGGAGAGTTACTGAACTTGAGAAGCAAACAGATGTCCTCCGCGGTGACGTGGCAGTCCTGGATGCAACAGTGCAGAATAACCAAGATGAGAGGAGAGCACTGCTGGAAAGGTGACTGATTTCTAGTAATGCTAGTTTACTCACAGTGTGAGCAACCAAAAAGATCGCCCACCTCTTTTTCAAAGTTTGAAATAGAAGACAAATCTTGAGAAAAGTCCATCGCTCTTGCATAGTATTTAGCATACCATTTAAACCCTAACCCCTAAAACAATCAGATTGTTGAAATTACTGTTGTATTTAAAATAACTAAAGTAGTTCATTTTCTATTGTCTACCTGGGTCATTGATGAATTTTGGAAAACAAAAATTCTCTTTTTCCAATCCACTCCAGATGTCTTAAAGGTGAAGGTGAGATAGAAAAACTTCAGACCAGAGTAGGAGAACTGCAGAGAAAGCTAGATAACACCACTGCTGCTGTGCAGGAGCTGGGCAGAGAAAACCAGTCTCTTCAGGTGGGTCTCTGGGTGCTGTGACAGCGTCGTAGTGTAGCGTTTAGCTCTGAGTGAAAAGCATGCTTTCAGTCTTTTAAGAAATCACATATAATTGATAAATATGTTTTGGACAGTTACTATCAGTGTCACTTTTATAGATGTTTGAGTAGTTAAATATACAAGATAAATGCTAGGGAGACCCTAGGCCTCATTTAGAGAATGTACTGAAAACTCTTAATAGTAGACTTAGCAGATTTGGGAAGATGAAGGAGTAGATGCATTGGCGTATGTTAACAAAATAATCAGAGCATGTGCTCAGTGTTTTGAGGATTGGGGAAAAATCAAAGGTTAGAAATCACTATGCCATTGAGGAATAAAATTTGATTTACTTTTGTTCTGTCATCCAGACTTAAGAAAGTTGCAAAATTTTTGATTTTTAAAAGTATTGTCCCATGTTTCCTATAAGGAAAGAAAAGTTAGTCGTAAGATTCTGGCACCAAATTAGAATTAATCTGCCATTCTTTAGTGTTGAATATTGTGATATATTGGCACGTGGTTTTTGTTTTGTTTTTTAAATAGATCAAACATACTCAAGCATTGGCTAGAAAGTGGACTGAAGACAATGAAGCACAAAACTGTATGGCCTGTGGGAAAAACTTTTCAGTAACAGTGCGACGGGTAAATGCATTTCTTACCGCCAAGTTTCTGCATTTTGTTCCTCTGACAATTGATGTTTTAATCATCAAATTAGTTCTGTGTTTCATAGATTTTATAAACTTTCAGTTATTGGTAAGATTTCATTTATAACTTCATGTTTTAATTAAATTTCATGGAATCAGGAATCTGCATGACTATTTGAGCTTGCTTTAAACTCTTAGAGCCAGGCATCGCCTGGCTACGATGGAACAATCATTTTCTAAGCCAGTGCTCATCATCATTGGACGTTGTGAGGAGATAAAATAGAGATGAAAACACGAAGCGTTGTAAATGATACCATCATGCGACTGTTCGTGTTTATATCCCACTGAAGGTTTTTTGACAGAAACCCTTGGTGACTAAGACTCATTCCTTTATCCTGCTTTGTATGCTTTGCTAAAACCCTTAAGAACTGCCCCCAGGGTTCTTTTGAGACTCCCATAGTGTTATAATCCATATAAAATAGTTAGCATAGTCAATGATAAATAAAAATCACTCAATACATTTTGGCTGTTTTTAATATTAGATTAAAATGGGATTAAATGAACATATTTAAATAGCATTTTATGAAATAACATACCAATTGCTTGAAAATTAATTTACCTTCACAGTGTAGTTGTGATATTCATGTGATTGCATAAAGCTGTTTCTGTAGCTTTTTTACTTATAAGTCTTTACTTTTTGTCATTTGCAGCATCACTGCAGACAGTGTGGAAATATCTTCTGTGCTGAGTGTTCAGCCAAAAATGCCTTAACCCCCTCTTCCAAGAAGCCTGTTCGTGTCTGTAATGACTGTTTCAATGACTTGCAAGGGTAATGTGTTATCACAACATCAGAGTAATATCACACTAACATTAATTTTTTAATAAACATATCTAATAGCGCACTTGAACTATATGTTATGATTTGGACAGTGGTTGAATAACTAGGCCAAATTAGTATTCATATATTTTGAAATGTTCTCAATATCAAGTAAAACTCTTCTATTTTTGTGAGACTTGGGCTCATCTTTTATTACTTTTTGCCCCCATTTAACCCTTGGGACAGCTTTCATGCCAAGTTTAGAATTAGCTAACAGAATGTAAATAACTTTGGACAGAAAATAGCAATGTATTTTTTTAAATATAATTTCATTGTTCACAAATAACATGAAAATAATTACATTGCTTACTTCTTGTTTCTCCCAAATTTAAGGTACAAAAAATGAATTTGAATGATATCACTTGTGTTTTTTTGCACAATAGCACATTATTATAGAAAATGTTATCTTTATGAAATCATGCTCGGAACTATAAAACTTTCTCTTCTTTTTCTGATATGTAGGTCCATAGATCAATTGCACTGTCAGGTTATGTATTTACTATCTGGGTATTCTAAATACTTATTTTAAAATATGTATTAGTTATTCAAACACGGTTTTTGTTTTAACAATATGGATTAAATTCTTTCGGGTGGATTTTGTGAAAACCTCTATAAAATCAGTTTACTTACTTTATGGTTATCCTGGGGTTGTATTTTAAAAACTAAAATTACTTTTTCCTTTTTGCCTTTTTCTATCTCACTTGTAAGCCCACATCATGTCCTCTATTAAGACTCCCACAAGCTTCCTATCTTCGTTCCCAGTTGGAAGATGAACATTAGACATTGTGTTCTTTGTTTCTTTTAAGTGGGAAGGCTTCTGAGATTAGCTTCATATTTCAACTTCATTTGGTCACTCCAGCGTCATCAGGATTCTGAGTTTGCTGTTTTCTTAAGGGATCTATTTTTGTTTTTCATTTAATTTGGTTTAATCTTCTGAAGCATAGTTTCGCTTTGCTGCAATTGTAAAATTCTACCTCTTCAAATTAGTAATTGGTACTGCTACAACCTTATCCTCTGTGAAAACAAGATAAAAAAGTAGCAAGGAGCCATGAACTGTTCCACTCTATATTTCCTCCATACCTGCGGGGGAAGGCAATTTTAAATGTTGGACAGTTGGCTTATATTTAAATCGGTTCACAATTTGGGGTTCCATATCAACTGGGAGAACTTTTAACTTTACAAAAACAGTGCTATGAAATTACTTTAACAGCTAGAGAGAAAAGTATTACCAAAAGTCAGTGTGTTAAGGAATCCGTCAGTTGTTATCAAAACTGAGACTGATGCCCGAACAAAATGGAATTAAACTTTAATTTGTTCTAGTTTTCTAAAGAGTCAACATCGAGAGTGCTTTATTATTTTTAGAGAAGAAATATAAAGTCACACATTGATTGAGTGCAGTCATTAACAGAAAAGGGCGTAAGTTAATATTTAATTTACAATAGTTAGTAGTGTACACTTGCTTTCAAATGTCATGCTGGATTAAGATGATCATGTTTAAATTATGCCTGACATATATAAACTAAAATAAATGGTCAAATACTCATTACAGAAAAGACAAACATTTGCTTAAACCTCTTGCCAATAATATTAAGGACACTAATTGAGTTCTTGGACTTAGGTAAATATGTATTCTTTAGCTTAAATAATGAAGAAATACGATTATTTATTAACATATGGGTTGGAAAACAAACTGAGCTAAATTATGTATGGAATGTCTTACACTTAAAACCTTTTCAAACAGTTTCAATCAAATACTTTTACCTGTAAGTACCAGAATAAATGGGTTGGAAAAACAGGCATTCTCAGTGCTCTTAGGTTTTGCTTTGCGGGGGGAAAAAACCCCCAGCAAACTAATAAAACATCCTAAGAATTTTTCTGGACTAAAATATTGATTGCTCTCCTGTAATGAAATGCTCGAAAGGCTTTCTCCTTGCTCACCACCAGTTCCTTTCTCCTAATTTAGAATACAAAATACATTTAAAATTTGTGGCTAACAAACTAAGGAAACATAGGCTTTGGGTGGCTTTCTACTTTTCATCTAATCTCATTTCTTACACCCTAAATTATTTTCCCCGGGCTGCAATATCGATATCATATCCGAAATCTAATTTGTGTGGTTAATGTGCACAAATTCAAGGTGTTCTGGAAATAAAAATTAGAGCAGTAGATTTCGGTGTCTTTTCAGTTAAGTCATTTCTCTTGTCTTTATTGGCTACTCCTGTGGGTGTCTCTTAGTACCATTATTCTGTCAGCAAGTCGGAGCTGGCATGGACAGGCCCAGCTCTGGGCTCTAATGTAAAGCTTATTGGCTTCATGTGTTCATTAATTCCAGACCTCAGCATTGCACTGAGAAGTGAGCTAAAGTCAATTCATGTTGGGTTAGTGTGCGATAAAGTGTATCTACAGAAACTTTTTCATAGAAAGATGGCAAAGCTGCTAGTATAGGCTGTGTTCCTTTTTTAAGAAGAGGACAACAAACACAAAACCTCAATGTAGAATACAAGTAACATTTTGTTCAACTACCTCTTAATGTGGAATTAGTTAGCTCAGTGTTTTCCTCACAGTAATGTTCAATAGCGACTGCCAAATTTGTTAGTTTCCCATTACCCTTAAAAAGTCTGATTATTTCATATAATCTAAAAAAACTTTGAAGCCACTTTTCTTTTAACCTTGCATTTGCATAAACATATTTAGCTTCTAATTAGAGAGTAAATTACTATCATCTATTTTGATATTCATGACTTGTTTGACTACAGCGTTTTTTTAATGCACTTTGGCTATAAAACTGTGGATGATTTGATCCATAAGATTTAAGTGTGCCATCAATTTAGTATTCCTAGCCAAGAGCTTGACGAGTGATATTCTGTAATTATAATGCGCCACACATTAATGTGTCTTAATTGCCCTTTGCCTGAATTTTAATGATCAATTTGTTCTTGTTGCAGATGTGAATATTGTGTATAAACTTACTAAATTCATGTAAAGTTTTAAAAACAGAATTGGAAATGGCTAAGTTCTTTCTGCATAGGATTCATTATAACATGATACATTTATGTATTCCACATTCTGTACTTTCTTAAACTGGATCACACGTTCACAATTTCTGTAGATACGTTTGCATGGATATCTTTGCATTTAGTTTTGAGATTCACTATTTGTCTTGTGTTTACTACTTGTGATCATGTAGTTGTGCCTTATTTTGTGAGAGAGTTTAGCTCAGTCAATACTGTAATTTCTAAACTCAGTGATTGGAAAGGTCATTGATTGTAAATATAATGGGTAAATTTCATGGTTCAGCATTTAAATCTGTACAAAGAACAATGGAAGGATCCTTATTGAATTGTTGCTTTTTAAAAATATGTTAAAGATATGATATTAAAAAACATTTTCTAGTAAAAGTATAGTGTTGTTATCAGTTATTTTTGTCATTTAAAACATATTAAGGTACTAGCTATTTTGCATGTATTTATTTATAGAATATCCTTACTTTGCATTTAGATATAGATGGGCTATATTTTATGTGCTCTGTAACTCAGAGAATAGTCATTATTTTAAGTTTGCAGTTTTAAGAGACATTCTTAATGCTTGAAACTATTCCTTTTGTTTTCATTCATTATTGTATAGAATTAAAAACACTAAAATGTTTTAAAAATTAATCATTTCTTTTATTCCATAGCCACCCTCTGTCGTGCTTCCGAGGCTTTATAAATGTTGACTGAAGGAGACAACCTCGTTCTTTTCCTTCAGAGCAGCTGGTGGGGTTTGAACAGCTACCTTTCCATTAGCAGTCCAATGCTTACTGGACAGTACCATGAGGCCTGATGCCTATTTAAAGATAATTTACTAAGGGCTCAGGGTACCACTGTTTTCTGCTATATTTTGTTTTTTGTTTTTACTTTTCCATTCTCATGTGCTTCCCTTTGAAGAATGTAATTAGGTATATAACCTCAAACACATATAACTTATTAGGTATGCAATTCTGTAGCTTTATCACATTTCATTTTACAGATACAAGATTCATTTAGTTAGCCTTTCCTTTTTAAGGGATACTGGGGCAGGAGGGGGGAACTAGTCCCTTATATATATGAGAGGCTTTAAAAAGAACATGGAAAAAACAGAATTAAAAGATAATGGAATTTTCCATGAATTGCCCCTAGTATATGGTCATTGGAGTCATAGGACTAAAAGGATTATTTTGTCCTAGTCCATTCTCCTCTTCCGAGCCTATTTTGAACCTCCCAACATTCTCTGATATATTACTCATTTCTTTTTAAAAAATCTCCATTCCATATCGCCAGAAATGTCATCTTCAATTCCTTCTCATGCAAATCTACATTGTCTGCTCCTCGGTACAATCGCTTTCAGTTCAGTGTCGTGCAGAGTCCCTCTCTAGATACTCCCGTGAAATCTGTTCTCTTCCTGTGGCTTTTGGCTTTCTTGTCTTCCTTTCTCATTTGTGCTCAGCTGTTAGCAGTAGTTGCTGCTTTGCAAACTTCCCTGGTAATTCCCCTTACTCCTAACAAGTCCCTGTCACTGTCGTGAAGAGATTGTGGCTGCAGCCCTTGCTTCTCATAGTCCGTGACCATTGTACTCATTAGCATTGCCCTGTATGCGTGCTGCTGAAACGCATGTCTTCCTCAAAGGAGGGTGTGCATATGATTCTGCCCTCAAACTTCATGCTCTGTGTCCCGCCCTCCAACTTAAAGAGATCATCTGAGATGATGTTTGCCTTACAGCCAAGCCTGACAAGTTTTCAGCTTCTGCTTTGGAAGCTACAAGAGGTACCCTGGGCTGCAATTGAAGCCTGTGAACTTCCATTGTATGTCCTCTGACCCAAAATTGCTTAGATGCAGTTAATATTCTTTGTTGCTCCTCGATAATATGATTCTTCAAGCTGCCATCACAAATATTTAATAATATTTCAATTCTTGCCAAGTAAAATTAAAAGCGACTCTTGTTGGGCTATGCATTGGGCTGAAGGTTAACAGCGTGAAATCATCCACTGCTCCATGGCAGAAAGAGAGGCTTTCCACTCCCATGAAGATTCACTGTCTCAGAACTCTGTAGTTGTACCCTTTCCCAGAGGGGTACTGTGATTCGAAATGGATGTTGACGGTGGGTTTGTTTTGTGTTGACACGCATGCATGTAAGCACACCCCAAGCCAGCAAGGATTTTTATGGCAAACACCATCATTCGTCCAAAAATAAGGTTAAAAGGAAGATAACTTACCTGAAAATCTCCCACATGCAACTGGATCTGATAACTGCTTTTTCCTCAAATAGTGAAATTTCATTTTGAGGGGTTTCTACCTCTGAGAGTATCATAAAGTATACCTGAGATAAGCGAACTGTTAGATCACTAGAATTTTTAAAACACGAACGATTAAAGTATAGGCTTTCTTTCTTCTTTATGATACTAAAGGGGGACATTGGTGGCCCTGTGGTGGACTGCCTGCCTTCCGTGTTAACCTCGGGGTTTTTTCGCTGTCACATACCTCATGCACAGCCACCACCTGTCTTGTCTGCACACTTAGGTGTTGCCAGGTTTCTGAACAGCTTTCAGTGGAAATTCCAGACTAACATGGACCAGGATGAACAGTGTGGTGATCCCCAGTTAAAACCTTAAGGATCACAAGTGTCTGATCCCTGGCAGTAGCTAACCATATTAAGAATAATAATATTAAAAGAGCAATCAACCTTTGTATCAAAGGAATTATCATGGTCTCCGAGGTAGATCTACAAAGCAGTCAGACTGACACTCAGGCACAGAGGAACATGGGTTTCCATATTTTCTGGATAACATACAAAGGAAAGTGCTAGAATTCATATTGTAGGCCCGCAGTGGTCATTGTCTCCCTCCGGACCCCGCGTTTGTCAGGAATCTCTCTTAACAAATGATGACGGCATCCTACGCCACTCACACCTCTTGCAAAGCTGACTGACCGGGAATTCTGGTCAAGGATTCCTCGGAGTTCACATTTGCTGTCGTCATGATTCCTGGGGCTTTTCCTAACTTGGATTGGGAACTCTGACAGTGCACATTTCCTTCTAGCACATCACTAGGTCCGGTAAGTGTTGCAGAAGCTTGGGTCAAAGACGATGCCCTCGTGTCTAAAAAGTATGCGACAGCTGGTTTCAGATCCCCACATTTCTTCTTGATCCTAAATTTCTGAGGATTCTGCCGGCAGTGAGGAGAACAGAGTGTTTTTCGTGCTTTCCTGGCTCTTCATAAAGCAAGAGATTGCGGCTGTCATTTGTGCCATCCATGTTTTCTGAGTGGGGGGCGGGGGGAGGGGCATATAGAGAAAGAGAGAAAAAGATTTAGTTGCATTAAAATTTGGCAGTATATTTACCGGCTTACTCTTTAATGTCTTCCCACACTTCCCATGTTCTTTCTTACCTCACATGTAATGTAAACAAATTATTGAAATACAAACGTTTAAATGAGTGTGGTATGTGACTTGGATAAACAGTCATGAATAATCTAGGACCCATAGTACTTAATGATGGGCACGCAGAAAACGGAGCACTGAGAACAAAACAGTGTCTGTGGTCTCCACTTTGTGTAGAAATACCATTTCTCAACCAGTGCTCTCACTTGAAAAACAGACTTTGAAGAAGGTTACCTAGGAAATGGAGCCCTGAAGGAGAATTCAACCCTGTTGAGTGGCCCCATAATTGCTGGGGTGGAAACCAATTTGGGGGAAGACAAAATGGAAACTTCTATGAGAGAGAAACCAGCAAGTTGGGGATTTGTGTGAAGCACCTTGAAAGTTGATAATACAGCCCATAGCGGGGGCAGGAGAAAATTAGTTGTATCAAATGTGCCAGTGAGAGAGCGGTCAGCTCAGTTTCCTGAGCACAAAATGGACTGGATCCACACCCACCGCCACCCATCCGCCCCTCCTCCTCCTACCTCTTCCCAGTGTGTGTGTGTGTCTGTGTGTCTGTGTGTCTGTGTGTTTGCCCTTCGGTTACGCAATTTAGAGGTTGGGGTAAGATTTTTCCTTGAAGAATCAAAGCAGTCCAATACGAAAATACTTACTTTACTATTTTCTGTTTGGGCTTGTAATAAGAATGCTGCTATACACTGTCGGTATCTGTTTTCATGTTGTATAAGAAAAGCATTTCTCAGACCAAAAGCTGGAAAAAGACAAAAGGCCACATCATTTGATACAAAGTCCAGTGTTTTATTTTTAATACAGAACCTGTTTTTGTTTTCTAATGAGGGCAAAAGACTTACATAGATTGCCAAAACAATCACACACACACACACACACCAACAAAAATCTTCTGGTTCCTAGTCCAAGATTCTACTATATCAAAATAGAGCCACTTAAAAATGAAAACCCTTTCTTCCTTAACTAATGATTTCTGGGGCTTGATCAAATGCAATCATGACGTAAGTGATGGGAAATGGGCTCCTCATAGAAAAAAACTAAGCATATTAAGTGGAATTTTCTGTTAAAAACATTGTAAAATTATGTAAAGTAAGGGAATTACTGCTTATTTTTGACACCCATTGCTCATTTAAAAAATGATTTAGTATTTAAAGGGAATTCACATGAAAATGATGTACAAACAAATGTATATGTGACAAAAATGCAAACCCAACTAAATGTTTAGCCACAGACTAAGACAATCCAAAAAGAAGAAAAAGACATAAATTCTGCATCCCAGAAATCGTATGAAGTATGAAAACAAAACCAAAAGAAACGTGTTGGCGTGGTGTCTGTTTGCCAAAGGAACAGACTGAGTGTGGGTGTTGGCCCTGCTGCTCCCTTGCTGAGCCCTTAAAAAATGACAGGAGACAGGGAGAAAGCAGATGCCCGTTTACAAAATACAGCAGGAGCTCTTCAAATGAAAGCTTCCTTGAAGTATTAAGACAAGACTGGGAATATAATTCTGCAACCTATCGATGCTTTCTGTAGTTGACGTATGTGTAGAAACAAAACAGGATTGTTTCCTGGTCACACCAAGTACTTGGGGAGGATGAGGCGTTCTTATCCCAGCTAGTCATTAAACTGCTGCTTGTCCATCGTCATTGTTTTTGTTTGTCTCAGTCTGTGAATTCAACCAGACCTAGCCCCACGGGTTAGGACTCTTTTCAGCACTGACATGGATGCAAGGCTTTCATTAACTGCAGGATTGCCCGCTATCATAGATTATACCCTCAACAGGCTGAGCCACAGACTTCCCACATTCTACTGAAACAAAGTCTGTTAAGGTCATGAAATTCTGTCCAGCTTTTCTGGGGCTAGGAAACTTGACCTCACTACAATGGCTTTCAGAAAGGAAAAAACAAAACAAAACAAAAAAACACCTGGCTGTTTATTTTATGCCCTGAGTTTTCATCTTATAAATTCCCTTTGGCAAGTAAGGTTTAAAAGATCGGGTGGTTGTTCTTGGCTGGTTCTTCAAAGTATACCTCG